CCCCCCGCAGGGAATGGGACCGTGGCCGGGAGCGCCGGAGCCGGGGCGAGTACCGGGACTACGACCGCAACCGCCGGGAGCGTTTCTCTCCCCCCCGGCATGAGCTCAGCCCGCCCCAGAAACGCATGCGCCGGGACTGGTGAGTGAACGACCCCCTGCTGGGCCAGCCCATGGCGGTCGAGGCTGGTGTGACCCGTTGGGCGCACGTGCCACCCGCACCCCATAGGAAGCTAGACTGTTACGTGCCCAAGGCAGAGAGTAGGCGGGGCCAGGTGCCCGAGGGAGACTAGCAAAGGAGAGAGACCCAGATAATCCTGTGCCCCATGCTGCAGACGAAGGTGATCCGTTAGACCCTGAGCGTGTGAGCAAGAACCAGCGAGCCAAGCTCCCGAGAGAAGGAAGAAGGAAATCCCTGATGCTTCGGAAGAAGGAAATTTAAAAATAACCTCCCTGAATACATTGAGGTTTTATTGGGGGGGGAACCCCTTCCTGACCTCAGACAGTGGCTGGCCGCAGCCCTGAAGCATGAGCGTTAGGAACATAAAGGGACCCCCACTGCTGCCAAGTCCGGCCCCCCACTAACACCAGCAGCCCGGTGATAAGTTTGTGCGCTCTCTGAAAACTCCCGTAGCTGGTTGCCCCCACAACTCGCATCGGGAGGCAGAGCCAGAACCGCACCCCTCTGACGGTTAGAAGCCGTCGTATTTCCTGCCTGAATTTGTTCCCAGCCAGTTTATCCAACGCTGGCCTTTTGCTCCAATAGCTCTTCGCCTGTCGTAATGTATTTCTAGAAAGCAAGCAGCTCCCGTTCAGTTTGTGAACCTAAACGAGTCAGATTCATCCAGCCTCCCCTCATACGACGGGGCCCTCCGTCACCCTCATCGTCCTAGGGGCTCTTCTCTGCAAGTACTCACGTTCAAATTTGTCTTTTTTGAACCTTGGGGCACCAGATTTGCGGCCCGTATTCCAAATGGGGGCTTCCCTCTGCCTTGTACAACGGCGTGACTATTTCTCTCGCTGGGTCTCCTGGCAATACCTGGCCCAATGCAGCCTAGATCGCATTTTTGCCATTTCCCTTGCCCTGGCATGTTGGTGGCTCATTGCCCGTGCGCCCAGGTTGCTCTCCGCCTCGGCTGTTTCCAGGTGACGAGGCCCCAGGTTGTAGCAGTAATTGTTGTTATGGACTATTGAATTTCAGCCCGTTTCTGTCACTCCCGCCTTCTAGTTCTTCCTGTGCGCCGATCCAAATTTCATGAGTACCCTCCTACTTGTTGTGCTGAGCTCATTTACAAAACTCCTGAATAAGATCTGTCCCGAGAACGATCCTTGAAGAACTCTTGTGAGTAGCCTCCCCCCAGGCCGATAATTCCCCTTGCCACACAACCCGTTGCCCTCTCCCCTTCCGCCGGTTCCTTGTCTGCTTTCCAGTTCTTGCACTAATCCCCACCTTCCCTGATTTAACTCGTGTGGCACCGTAGCAAATGCTTACATCCAAGTACATTGATCTATTCCCCTGCCCTTTTCTCAAAGGAAGAAAGCCGGATGATCGACCTTTTGTAAACCTGTGCAGTGTTATATCCCCTTTGCTGTTTCTCTCTCTCAATTCTTTCCTTCTCAGTTTGTTCTAAAGTCTTGCATACTAGTGAAGTTAGAATAAAAAGATCAACCCCCCCCCCCATTAGAATCATAGAAGTTTAGGGTTGGAAGGACCTCAGGAGGTATCTAGTCCAACCCCCTGCTCAAAGCAGGACCAACACCAACTAAATCATCCCAGCCAGGGCTTTATCAAGCCGGGCCTTAAAAACCTCTAAGGAAGAAGATTCCACCACCTCCCTCTGTAACACATTCCAGTGCTTCACCACCCTCCTAGTGAAAAAGTTTTTCCTAATATCCAACCTAAACCCCTACTGCAACTTGAGACCATTGCTCCTTGTTCTGTCATCTGCCACCACTGAGAACAGTCTAGATCCATCCTCTTTGGAACCCCCTTTCAGGTAGTTGAAGGCTGTTATCAAATCCCCCCTCACTCTTCTCTTCTGCAGACTAAACAATCCCAGTTCCCTCAGCCTCTCCTCATAAGTCATGTGCTCCAGCCCCCTAATCATTTTTGTTGCCCTCCGCTGGACTCTTTCCAATTTTTCCACATCCTTCTTGTAGTGTGGGGCCCAAAACTGGACACAGTACTCCAGATGAGGTCTCACTAATGTCGAATAGAGGGGAATGATCACGTTCCTCGATCTGCTGGCAATGCCCCTACTTATACAGCCCAAAATGCCTTTAGCCTTCTTGGCAACAAGGGCGCATTGTTGACTCATATCCATTCTTAAATGTAGGTACAACATTAGCCATTAATACAGTACTATCCTTGAATAGATAAATTTATTAAAAATCTTTGCTACTAACCATCTCACATGCCAGTTCTTTCAGAATTCTGGGCTGGAAACTATCCGCTCCTCCCTGATTTGAGCACGTTAATCTCTTACGTTTTTCTTCCACCTCCGAGAGGGCGACTTCCCTTTCTAGACACACTTTTCCATCAGCCGTACTGCCGTCATGCCCTCGTTCAGGCTCAGAAAGATTAGATTTTCATCTGCAAGCATCCATTTCACGGAGAGGGATGAAAAATCATTTCCATCGCTTATGATAATCGCAATTTACCGCTAGGCAAAGGAAGAAAAACATTACTTGAAAACTAGTTAGTTCGATTAAGGATGTTTAGTTTGTATATTTGGTCACACAGCGTTGATGATTTGTGTTTTAACTAGAGCTGTCAAGCGATTAAAAAAAATTAGCCGCGCAATTAATCGCATTGTTAATAATGTGGAATACCATTTATTTAAATATTTTTGGATGTTTTCTCCATTTTCAAATATATTGATTTCAATTACAACACAAAGTGTACAGTGCTCACTTTATATTTATTTTTGATTACGAGTATTTGCACTTTAAAAAAACAAAAGAAATAGTATTTTTCAGTTCACCTCATACAAGTACTGTAGTGCAATCTCTTTATCCTGAAAGTTGAACTTACACATCTAGAATTATGTACAAAAAATTGCACTGAAAAATAAAACAATGTAAAACTTTGGAGCCTGCAAGTCCTACTTCAGCCAGTCGCTCAGACAAACACATTTGGTTACAATTTGCAGGAGATAATGCTGCCCACGTCTTGTTTACAATGTCACCTGAGAGAGAGAACATGCATTCGCACGGCACTGTTGTAGCCGGCGTCGCAAGGTATTTACCTGCTAGATGCACTAAAGATTCATATGTCCCTTCATGCTTCAACCACCATTCCAGAGGACATGTGTCCATGCTGATAATGGGTTCTGCTCGATAACGATCCAAAGCAGAGCGGACTGACGCATGTTCATTTTCATCATCTGAGTCAGATGCCACCAGCAGAAGGTTGATTTTCTTTTTTGGTGGTTCGGGTTCTGTAGTTTCTGCATCTGACTGTTGCTCTTTTAACACTTCTGAAAGCATGCTCCACACCTCGTCCTTCTCAGATTTGGGACGGCACTTCAGATTCTTAAACCTTGGGTTGAGTGCTGTAGCTATTTTTAGAAATCTCACATCAGTACTTTCTTTGTGTTTTGTCAGATCTGCTGTGAAAGTGTTTGTAAATCAAACAACTTGCTGGGTCATCATCCGAGACTGCTATAACATGAAATATACGGCAGAATGTGGGTAAAACAGAGCTGGAGACTTAGAGACTTTAAGGTCAGAAGGGACCAATATGATCGTCTAATCTGACCTCCTGCACAACGCAGGCTGCAGAATCTCACCCACCCACTCCCGCAACAAACCCCTAACCTATGTCTGAGCCATTGAAGTCCTCAAATCGTGGTTTAAAGACTTCAAGGTGCAGAGAATCCTCCAGCAAGTGACCCATGACCCACGCTGCAGAGGAAGGCGAAAAGCCCCCAGGGCCTCTGCCAATCTTTCCCCCCCCACTGCTCCCCTTGGAAGGCTGTTCCAGAACTTCACTCCTCGGATGGTCAGAAACCTTCGTCTCATTTCAAGTCTAAACTTCCTGATGGCCAGTTTATATCCCTTTGTTCTTGTGTCCACGTTGGTACTGAGCTTAAATAATTCCTCTCCCTCCCTGGTATTTATCCCTCGGATATATTTATAGAGAGAGAGAGCAATCAGATCTCCCCTCAGCCTTCTCTTGGTTCGGCTAAACAAGCCAAGCTCTTTGAGTCTCCTTTCATAAGACGGGTTTTCCATTCCTCGGATCATCCTAGTAGCCCTTCTCTGTACCCGTTCCAGTTTGAATTCATCCTTCCTAAATATGGGAGACCAGAACTGCACCCAGTATTCCAGATGAGGTCTCACCAGTGCCTTGTATAACGGTACTAACACCTCCTGATCTCTACTGGAAATACCTCGCCTGATGCATCCCAAGACCACATTAGCTTTTTTCACAGCCATATCACATTGGCGGCTCATAGTCATCCTGTGATCAACCAATACTCCGAGGTCCTTCTCCTCCTCTGTTATTTCCAACTGATGCCTCCCCAGCTTATAACAATAGTTCTTGTTATTAATCCCTAAATGCATGACCTTGCACTTTCACTATTAAATTTCATCCTATTACTGTTACTCCAGTTTACAAGATCATCCAGATCTTTCTGTAGGATATCCTGATCCTTCTCTGTATTGGCAATACCTCCCAGCTTTGTGTCATCCGCAAACTTTATCAGCACACTTCCACTTTTTGTGCCAAGGTCAGTAATAAAAAGATTAAATAAGATTGGTCCCAAACCGATCCCTGAAGAACTCCACTAGTAACCTCCCTCCAGTCTGACAGTTCACCTTTCAGTATGACCTATTGTAGTCTCCTCTTTAACTAGTTCCTTATCCACCTTTCAATTTTCATATTGATTCCCATCTTCTCCAATTTTAACATACAATTCTCCCCCGAGGAGTTTGTCTCAGCGATTGGCTGAACAAGAAGTAGGACTGAGTGGATTTGTAGGCTCTAAAGTTTGTTGTTTTGTTTGAGTGCAGTTATGTAACAAACAAACAAAATCTACATTTGTAAGTTGCGCTTTCATGACAGAGATTGCATGGCAATACTTGTATGAGGTGAATTGTAAAAAACTAGTTCGTTTGTTTATCATTATTACAGTGCAAATATTTGTAATCAAAATAATCATATCAAGTGAGCACTGTACACTTTGAATTCTGTGTTGTAATAGAAATCATTGTGTTTGAAAATGTAGAAAAACATCTGAAAATATTTCATGCATTTCAGTTGGGATTCTCTTGTTTAACAGTGCGATTAATCGCGATTAATTTTTTTGAGTTAACTGCGATTAATCGGCAGCCCTAGTTTTAACAATGATCAAGCTTCCGCTTTTCGAATCTCAGCCCGTCGTTTCCTGCCACTGTGAAAATTTAAATGGATAAAACTTAAAATGCTTAAAACTTCTAATTTTGCGCAACTGTGAAAAAATTTAAATGATACAAATTGGGGGGGAATGCTTAAAAAATCCACTATTATCCAGCTGGACTTTTAGCCATTCTCGCTTCAGTCCTAACCGCTTTCTTTGCTGGTCATCCCCTGCTCTCTGCTGACTTCTCCTCACTTCTCGGAGGTCGTTATTCATCCAGCCGGGCCTGGAGCCTTTCCTGGCACGTTTTTCCCCCCTTGTTTCAGATCGCTTTTGCGTTCCGAGCCTCCTGGCGCTCTTTCGGCCCAGCTGACTTCTTCGACTAGTTCCTTTCATCTCCCCGAATGTGCCCGTTCGAAGTCAAAAACCTTCGTTGACTGGGTTTTTGATGAAATGAAACCGAAGTTGCTCATGATTGCTCTGTCCAATCTGGCTGGCTTCTTTTATCTTGTGATTCTCACTGCACCTACACTCTGCATGTGAAAGCGTTGACATTTTTTCCTTCTTTGTATTGTCCCCCAAGAATATTGGGGTACCCCATTTTTCATAGGGTTATGGGTTTCTTTGAGTCTCATTAACATTTACACACATTGGTCAGGGCAGGCGTTAGGAAAAAAATGGGCATCTTGTAATCCAAAATTAACCCGACGGTCAATTTTTCACAGTACACCTTTACCCCGCTATAACGCGACCCGATATAACACGAATTCGGATATAACGCGGTAAAGCAGTGCTCCGGGGGGGGGGGGCTGCCCACTCCGGTGGATCAAAGCAAGTTCACTATAACGCAGTTTCACCTATAACACGGTAAGATTTTTTTGGCTCCCGAGGACTGCGTTATATTGGGGTAGAGGTGTACATCTTTTCCCTGTAATCTTGTGGCATAGGGTCATTCGTTGGTCACTTACTTATATCTGTGGCTCGCAACCTTTCCAGACTTCCGTCCCCCTTTCAGGAGTCTGATTTCTCTTGTGTACCCCCAAGTTACACCTCACTTGAAAATGACGTGCTTACAAAATCAGACATTAAACCACAAAAGTGTCCCCGCCACACTAGTACTGAAAAGCTGCTGACTTTCTCATTGTTCCCATCTAATTATAAAAGAAATCAATTGGACTATAAATACTGTACTTACTGTATGGAGCAGTATAAACTAGCCCGTGTCTGTAGGAAATTTGAGTTTCTCCTGGCTTTGCTAGTGCTTTTTATGTAGCCTGTTGTAACACTAGGCAAATATCTAGAGCAGGGGTCGGCAGCCTTTGAGAAGTGGTGTTGCCAAATCTTCGTTGATTTAAGGTTTCGCGTGCCAGAGCGGCAGCGCGTGCGGCAGATAGAACCCCAGACCGGTTAGCCCCTGCCAGCCGCGGTCCCGGCCTCTGGCCCCGCTCAGCCCGCTGCCGGCCCGGGTACCGTCCATCCAGGCCGGCCGCGGGCTGAGCGGGGCTGGCGGCCAGGACCCTGGCTGGCAGCAGCGTGCCACTAAAAATCAGCCCCCGTGCCGCCTTTGGCATGCTTGCCGCAGGTTTCCGACCCCTGTGGATGTACCCCCGGAAGACCTCTGCGTACCCCCCTGGGGTATGCATACCCCTGGTTGAGAACCACTGACTTATGTCAAGTATTTCCTAACTCTAAGGCCTAGTATAACTAAGCTAAAATCTGACAGGCCTTGCGTTTCAGCCCTATTTACTCAGATACCTAATAGATAATTAACCAACATAAGAATGGCCGTACTCGGCCAGACCAAAGGTCCATCTAGCCCAGTATCCAATGCCAGGTGCCCCAGATGAACAGGAAATCATCCAGTGACCCATCCCCTGTCGCCCATTCCCAGCTTCTGGCAAACAGAGGCTAGGGACACCATCCTTGCCCAGCCTGGCTAATAGCCATTGATGGACCCGTCCTCCATGAACTTCTCTAGTTCTTTTTTGAACCCTGTTCTAGTCTTTGGCCTTCGCAACTGTCATGGAGTGTGGGGGGACACAAGGCCCTGCACCCCCGGCTTCCTGCGATTCACCATGACTCTCAGCCAGCCAGTAAAGCAGAAGGTTTATTCAGACGACAGGAACACAGTCCAAGACAGGTCTTGCAGGCACAGGCAACAGGACCCGCCCCCCAGTTAGGTCCATCTTGGGGTCCCAGGGACACCACAGCCCCATTGGGGGGGGCAGAGCCCCATCTGGGCTCCCTCCATTACCAGTCAGCTCCTGAAACTCTCTCCCCAGCCTTTGTTCAGTTTCCCGGGCAAAGGTGTCACCTGGCCTCTAACCCCTTCCTGGGTTCTCATGTTACATGCTCAGGTATTCTCCCTCAAGGCCAGTCTCCCATCCCCCCATGCAGACCATCCTAGTCACACTCCCCTGCCTTCCCAGCCAACACTCCCCATTCAGCATTCAAAGGCCACGTTAAGAACAGTCCCAGTTCGTCACAGCAACATCATCTGGCGAGGAGTTCCACAGGTTGACTGTGCATTGTGTGAAGAAATACGTCCTTCTGTTTGTTTTCAACCTGCTGCCTCTTCATTTCATTGAGTGACCCCTAGTTCGTGTGTTAGGAGAAGGAGTAAATAACACGTCCTTGTTTGCTTTCTCCACGTCGGTCACGATTTTATCGACCTCCGTCATATCCCTTCCAATTACTAATCAGTCTTATTCGTCTGAAATCCTGCAACTTAACTGTAGTCAACATATGATGATTGTACGTGACGCGTGAATCACGACATCACCCCATAAATGAACAGTAAAATGAACTAACTGGTTATGCCCTGGGGCTTTCTAGCAGACCCCAACCTCGCCCAAAGTGATTTTGACCCCTCACCTATCCCCCCACAGGGATGAGCACAGCGCCGACCCTTACCACAGCGGGTACGAGATGCCGTACAGCGGGGCGACCGCCGGCCCCACCTACGGGCCCCCCCAGCCCTGGGCGCACCCTGATATGCACGTGATGCAGCAGCACCATCTCCTGCCCATCCAAGCCAGGTAAATCGCCCACTTCCTGCTCCTCCCAACCTGCCTCCCCCACCTCGGCCTTCCCCTGCGCACACTGACGGTCTCGCCCCCCACCCCACCCCAAGCAGACTAGGCAACATCGCGGAGGTGGACGTGGGCATTGCCCCGCCCGTCATGAAGAGCTTCAAGGAATTCCTGCTGTCCCTGGACGACTCGGTGGACGAGACGGAGGCCGTCAAGCGGTACAACGACTACAAGTTGGATTTCCGGCGCCAGCAGATGCAGGACTTCTTCTTGGCGCACAAGGACGAGGAGTGGTACGTCCGCGTCAGGGCGCGGCCCCGGCTTCCCGTGTGTGTGTGCGTGTGCGTGCGTGCGTGTGCGAGATCCGGGCCGGAGACAGAACCAGACAGACCCAGTGGGGCCGGAGTTTTGGGGCGCGGGCGGGAGGTTGAAATTCACAGTTCCGATCCGACACCGTAAGGAGGTGGTGGTGGGGGGTGCTGCCGGTCTGATCCGGTTGGACGGGGTTCGGGGAGTCTGCCAGGTGGTTCTGATCCAGCGGAGGGGAGCTGGGAAGGCTGCCATGCACAGGCCAGCGGTTCTGATCTCAGGCCGGGGCGGGGGGTTGCCACGAATGGCCCGGTGGTTCCGATCCCTGCCGTAGAACGAAGGCCAACTGGGTGTGGCTAACCCCGGGCAGCTGGCCCCACGTCAGCCTTCCTTGCCTCTTCTGTCACCAGCTTCTTAGCTATTTCCCCGATCCCAGCTCTGGGACCGCGCCAGTTCCCGAGAGGTTGTGGGGTCTGATCTCTCCTGTGGTTTCCCCACGGAAAAGGGTGTGTGGGGGTGTCGTTTTAAGCCCTTTTTGTTCAGTTTTGACGCCTCGAAACCCGGCTCTTTGCAGACCGCCTCGTTCATTCGAGCGAAGAGACGCCCCCCACCCCATCTCCCCAGCCCAGATGCTCCCCGTGAGCTGATCCTGGCCCCCATCTCCTCGGCCCTGCACGCGCCTGAAGGGGCGTTGGCGTTGCGGGCTCGCGAGCCGGGGTTCTGATTGGGATCGGCCCAGAGGGGGCAAGCGCTGAGAGAATGTGGGGGTCGGAGCCAGCCCTCCCGAATCTGACGAGTGGCTCCCCCTGCCTCGGTTTCCCCCTCTGTAAAACAGGCGTGGTTTGTTGGACATGTTACAGTAGTGGCTAGAAGCCCCAGAGCAAGGAGATTGGGGGTCCCATTGTGCTGGCCGCATCAGAGAATGACCAGTGACCAGGCTCCACTGAGATTGGTGGGGGGGAGGGGCTTGTGCCAGACACCAGCAAGCAAGAGTCCCTGTCCCAAAGTTTCCAATCCAGATAGGCAACAGGGCAGGAGGGGAAACTGAGGCAGGACGAGACATGATTTGCCCACAGCCACGTATCTGAGCTGGATATAGATCCCAGGCATCCTAACTCCTTGCCACTAGACAACACCACCTCCCAGTCCCCCTGCTCTAACCCACCAGCCCCCACTTCCCTCCCAGAGCCGGGGAGAGAACCCAGGAGTCCTGGCTCCCAGCCCCCCTGCTCTAACCCAGCAGCCCCCACTTCCCTCCCAGATCTGGGGAGAGAACCCAGGAGTCCTGGCTCCCAGCCCCCCCCGTTCTATCCCACCAGCCCCCACTCCCCTCCTAGAGCGAGGGCATAATGCACCATGCCTCAGTTTCCCCTGCCGACAAATCCGGTGTACCGACGCCCCCCGCAGCGAATGTAGGAGCGTTGTCTGTGTGGCTACTTCTGCGTGTGGTTCTTGGACACTAGCCTACAGGCGTCTCGTAATTTCTTTCTTTCTTTTTTTTTTTTTTTTTTTTTTTTTTTTTTTTTTTTTTTTTTTTTTT